TAGAAAAATTATGATTATGCTCAAAAAATTGTTAATGCAATATTCCCTCGCAGAAAAGAATTCTTCTTACAAACCAAAATATATTTTGGCTTTAAATAACCCACAAAATGTTGATGAGCCGTAAAATAAACGAGTAAATGTCAGTTTTTATTTTTATATTTGTTGCATAAATAACAATGCTTGGCTTAACATCTATTTAATTTCTGTAAATATGTTGAAATTACCTTTTTGCAGTGTCAGATAAACTTCGCACGCGTTGTGTCTACGTTAGCAAACTTTCCCAAGGGATTCAGTTTTTCTTGATCTTTCTAGACTAAACTAATAACATGCAATATACGCACAAAATAATTGTTTAACAGGCTTATAAAATAAAATAACTCATAAAATAATTAATATTTTAATATCTGAAAAGCTTTAATGACATTTTGAATAAATAAATCTAAAAAAAGAAGAAAAAAAAAGCTATTTCTTTCTTTTATCGCTATAGCAATATAGCCGTGGAATAAATCATTAATTTATTATTGTATATCTAAAAGGTTAAGATCTTTTTCAGCAAATTTCTCTTTTTCCTACAGATTTCTAATCTGAAATATGCGGGCTATGTAGACGTCATTGTTACATTTTTTCTTCTTCGAAAAAAAAAAATGAAATCTGTGAATTCCATGTGTAAGAATTATCGCCAGGAAAGAGCCGGGTGTGGTCGTGTACTTCTGTATCGGAGGCCATATTGGAGTTGATTGCGGAGTTGGCTTGATATGGAGTACACATGGGACCACTCGAGCAGATATCCAAAGACGAAATAAGTTACTAAAGGGGACCGGGGATAATCAATGGAATGTTTAAGGATTTATGTAAAGTACAGCCTGCTCTCTGAATTAATATCGGCTGTCGAGGTCGCTTTTTTTTCCTTTTTTTAAATGTGAACGTCTGTATATGGGGCTTCTTTGTTCTCTGTTTGAAGTCGACTAAAGGGGTCCAAGCTGGTGGTCATACGAAACAGTTTATTATGACATTCTCCAATTATGGCGTGAAGCCAGATTTCTGAAGTTCTTTCCGATTTTGAACTATTATTATTCTAAAACCGGGATATGAAGAGTCTCTCATTGCTCTGTCGCTGCTACCATAGAAAGTGCTCGGACGAACTACATACGTTGGTTCCATCAGGTCTAACCTTCATGGCTAGGACCTGTCATGCAACTTACAGAGGAGCAAACCACCCACACTCCCTCCGTATTCCATCGGTGAGAAGCTTCTTCCCGCGAGCCACTGTCCTGTGGAACAGACTCTTAAGAGGATATTTGACCAATCACTGCAATTTTAACCTGTTCAAGTCTAGAGTTAACCGTTATCTTCCCCCAACTTATCCATATAAACTACTCCTTAACGTGACCCCCTACCTCGAGTGGCCCCCGTGCCTTGTACAGGGTGAACGTTACTGTAAAAAGAAAAAGAATGTATGGTTGTCACTAAGAGAAAAACGTCCGAGGTGCAAACTATGAAATAGAAATATCAAAATCAAAGAAATACAGAAATTTAAATATCTAGAAAGTATTTTAACAGAGAATGGAATCTCTAACATCGAAATCCGAACGGGGATGGGAATAACAAAAGATGCCTTCCAAAAGCTAAGCAAAGTACAAAGAAACTGAAAAATTTTGTCAGAAACAAAGAAAAGGGTGCTATGTAATATCAATTCCTCTATATGGCAATGAATGTTGATCTTTTTTTTACATATGAAGAAAAAATTGGCGGCAATGGGAATGTTATTCTACAGAAGGATGCTGAGAATGCCGTGAGAAAAGAAGAATTCTTAAAGGAAATGGAAACAAAAAGGACATTTATATTCCGAATCAGAAAGAGGTAATTGAAATTTCTTGGAAACATGATGAAAAAGAAAGGCTTAGAAAATTTAACACACACATGGCATATTGAATGCAAAAAGTATAGGAGAAAAGAGTAGTCTACATACCTGACGAGTTTGTGAGAATGGATGACGATACAGGAGGTGGTAGTTATGGTAAAACAACAAACGTTACTCAGAGCTACGAAGGATAGGAAACTGTGGTGAGCTGTGATTGCCTACGTCCTGAAGGGACACGGCACACAAAAATTTTTCTAAAGCAAATAGGCACTGAGAAAATGTTTCTATTTAACAGTAATTATAAAAAGCTTGATGAAGTTGTGTGCGGATAAATACTGTCTTTGGAAAAGGGTTTCAAGTTTTGGCTAAGGGTTTTTCCAATCTGAGTAAATGATCCCCAAATCGGTACAAGTGGTATACCCATGAACTTTTCCAAATCATTAAATTTGAAATACAGATAGTTTTATCAGCGCGAAAGAGCGAAATCGGCGTGCCGTGTTCAATTTGCGGTCGATGCTGTATCGTTCACTTCGCGATAATGCTCTTGGAAAAGGCATGAACCCACCTTTTTCGAAAAGGTGGTTTAAATAGCAAAGCAGTCTGTGCAAATTTTTACTTTGTGGTAGCAACCAATGAATGAGAAAGAACACTCTTAATCTGAAAGCGGCCTGAGGAAGGATGGGCTCCGTCAGGTTATAAACTAAATAAGTGTATAATCAGATATATACAAATTTTTTATAAGTTTTATGTTCACCATTGTATGCTGTATGAATTTCAAGGCTGGAATGCAACGCAGACAATGAAAAATATTTATGTTGTGCACAGAGATGTCAGTGTGCGATGGAGAGGGCGAAATTGACGAGTTTGAATTCTGGTCGAGTTCATTACCTTCACTTAAGTGAAAATACCCTTTATCTTTTATCTTTTTTGTCATATTTTCTCTGCAATTAAAGACATTTGGAGAAAAAAAAAGAATTCGGCTGAATGTTTAGAACTAAAGAAGGAAAAAGGACTTAGAATCACTGGTTTATTGTTAGGCATTACTTATTTAAAAATTATAAAAATAATTTTCATTGAAATATTGGTTCACCTACAAGACTTTAATTGACCAAAGATTTGCAGCCAGAGATTGGCAGCTGATCTCTCCGCTGACCTAGATCTAACAGATCAGTAGAGGAAAATCTGGCTAATGTCCTTCAATGTTGAAGACACAACGGTATATAGGTGCACCACCAAAAATCTAGATACTGACAGCTGATTTATACTCTGCTTTAGCTCTAACAGCTCAGTGGTGGCGTAAACTGGCTGGATGAATTTTCACCCATCACAGTGAACGGTTGTTTCCTTAGGGAAGCTCCGAGGCTTGAGCGTTTATTAAGACTTAAATTCAACCCAAACGCTGACGTTGCTGAAAAAAAAAAAAGACATCGATTCCCTGAACCGTTCTAGTAAATACCAGATTCTTCATGCTATATTATAAATTTACAAGACCCAGATCAGATCGAAAATAGAGTACTGCTGGTTAGCCTTTACTTTCGAGTCTAGATGGATTCCAAAAGTTTCTCCGCGTTCTTGTGGGTGATGAATTATGTTCCACCCTACAACCACTTTCCCCACAGACGAAACGACGCAATCCTCTCGCTACCCTATCGCTATTTCCATGGAAAATGTTAATACGAACGAAATTCCTTAGTGTTCCACCAACTCTAACTTTTACGGCCAAGACCCGATATGCCACGCCCATTGTAGCGAACCGCCTTCATTCCCTTCGTGCCCCACTGGTGAGATGTAAGTTCCACTCCAGCAGCTTCTTTTCGCGAACTCACTGCTCTGTGCAACCGACTCCCAAGAGGATGCTTCCCCGATCACTACAGTATTAATCTGTTCAGATCTAGACTTGAATAAATCTGCACCTTTTAAAATTTATTAATTACTAACATATTTTAAAATAGTTTATTATGAGTTACTTTACTAGTATACATAAATGTTCTATAGAATTTAGTTGTTAAATACAAGTTTATTTTCATTAAATTAGTTTGACTTCAAAATAAAGCATATACATTTACTATTTCTTGAATACATAACTCATCTATTAGTTGAATACTAAAACTTATCTATTAGTAGAAAATAAAATATGGTGTTTTATCACCGAATGATTAGGGGAGTCCAATCCCCGCCCCAATAAATGAGGTCCATAGTTAAAAAAAAAAAAAGATTGACTGAACCACTGATTTAAATATTTGCTATTGATTTATATCCATGTTTCTAGTTGTATCACATAAGTATAAAACAAGCGAGTTTAATTTTCAAAAGTAGACCGACATTTTATTTAAATGGATCAAAAAAATGTTATTAATATTTGAAAATTAAAATTAAAATTAATTATTAAGCATTATATCGGTTGGGGGGAATAAGGTTCGACAAATTGTATTTCCGTCTGTGTTCAACCGAAATTGCATTTTGTCACTGGCCTTACAGCTGATTTTTTTAGTTTATTTTAAATTTCTGTCTAATTACAATGTCGTTTACAGAACTCATATCTTTAAAAGCATGTTGGGGAGGAAATTCATTTTTTTTTTTATTCACGACTTCAGGGTCGTTGCTGCAGATAACTCGACGAACACTTAAGGCACTAAAATCCTTAAAAGTGAGCTGCTCACCGTGTGCCAATTGGTCTACTGCAATCATTTGAATAATTGTAGTAATCGGAGAGGCAACTCCTTGCTTTCACAAGTTCATGAGAAGAAACTCCTCGAGAAATTCCTCGTCATATCTCACCAATGAAATACGAATCGAATTCACTCGTGATTAGTGAATAATACGCGTGTCCACCTTGCTATCCATGACGCCAACAAAATGCTTTTTTCATTGATTCGTTTTTTACAGTTTATCGACCCGTTACAGGTTATTTAAAGCCAGAAAATATTTTTTAGATTGTACGATTTTTTTTTCAGATAATAATGGTTTAGTGACACAATACTTACTAATTAACCCATAGCTGGGGGAGAAGAGCTGAATCCCTGCCTTTCCTAAGGGTATCTACTCGTAAGTGATTATAACGAATCCAACCGCAATTGGGACTCGGTTCTCCGATTAACAATTCCGAGCCATTATCCATTACACCAGCCGCACATCCAAGCTTACAGCGCCTGGTATTCCCAAGCGGTCCCTCATCTAGGTACTGAGCAGGCTTGAAGTTGCTTAACTTCGGTGGTTGTACGAGAAGTAGTGTTTCAAAGTGAAGTGGACATAAGCCTTAAGAGGAAGAAGATGGTGCACTCGTATAGTAAGGACCAATTACTTTTTAGCATTGTAAAGACCATTTTGAGAAGAAGTCATTGCTAAAATACATAATACTATAAAATAGAAATTTAAACTGAGAGGGAACTCCTTCGGAAAAAAGAACGAGATGAAAAAAATAAATAAATGATATATAAACAAAGCAAAAAAAAAATTGTCTCAATTGGAAAAGTTAGGTGGTAACTTGAAAAGAGAAAGATTTATCAGGGATGAATGTTTTCTTATATAGAAACGGGTAATATTACCATTAATATTACCATTATCGGCAGCATGTGTTGACTTTCAAAAGTGTTGGGTGCGGCCGGGTAGGGTGCCCCTCGACCTCGGCACTTGGGTACCGGAATTCTGCACTTACAGAACCGTTTCCACACAAGTGATGTCGATATCAGAATGTGTTTAATTTTGTATCGTTCAAAGGTAAATTAAAAACAATTTTCTTTTGTATTTATTCCAAATGTCGCATCGGACAGAAAGCTGTCTTAACAGAAACTGCATATGACTTCCATAACGTGTCTCCTTAAATAAATATTCCTTGGGAATGAGAGGAAGCGAGGGAAGAGAGTCAGGTGGGGGGGAGTTGGCAGTGTCAAGTCAAAAAAAGAGAGGCATTGTGGGCAACTGAAATGTTTCTAAGAGGTTAACATACGGCATCAATAAAATATTTAAAACGCAAGTGCATTCAGCAATTAGAGTGCTTTTTACCCTTTCTACCCTGCTCCGCTCTCTCTCGCTATATATATATATATATATATATATATATATATATATATATATATATATATATATATATATATATATATATATATATATATATATATATTATATACATTTTATGTTTATACATTCTTTTTTTAGATACAAATATTTAAGTAAATGCTCTGTTTATAATAAACAGTATTAAACAACATTTACCAGCGTGAATGTCCGAGAAATTTTCACAGATCCGAACCTGTATCCTATACTGAACCATCATTTAGCTTGACGTGACTTTACCCATTGGGCCACAGAGGATCATTCGGTTAGCAAAGTCGAATTTACTGTATTTAAACTTCAATCTTCCATTCATATCTGCTCATGGCGAATCAAATGTAAACAAATGACGTCACACATTATGAAATGGACAAAACCCGACAATTATTTTAAGACATTTTTATGTTTATACATTCTTTTTATAGATACAAATATTTAAGTAAATGTTTATAATAAACAGTATTAAACAAAAAAAAAGAAAAAAGAGGAAACGAAACTAATGCTTTTAATTTAACTATATAATTAAATTTAAAGTTTTTAGCTTCCATTTTTGAAACATGGTTATTATTGTGTAGCGAAAAAAAACATATTTTAAATCAGTTAATTTATAGTATATATATATATATATATATATATATATATATATATATATATAATTATTTTAAAAAAATATGATTCCTTCGCTAGATAAGAGTTCGCATATTTCAAAAACGAGAGCCGAAACCCTCAATATAATTATTAAAATTAAATTGAATTAAAGTATCAAGTCCTGTTTCATCCTGAAGCGAAAATTTAGGAATAACCACTCTTGAAATTTACGCATCTTTATGTTCATTCGCAAAATTAATTGCTATGGAAACGGCTCGGCCGACCATTTTGATAAGGGGCCTAAGAGTTAATTTTTATCCTCATATCAGTCACCTTCGGAAAGAGGCCAAGCCGAGCTAGGGTGGGATGTCCATTTCAAAGCGAATGATGGCATTCATGTACGCACATCATCTGGTCAGTCACAGCGAAAGATAGCTTTTGGCACCATAATATGTCGTTAGGTGTCTAGAGAACTTTGTTTTATTTTATTTTATCTATTTATTTATTTTTTTTCTAAAGGACTGTTTCGTACATAAACGTGTACCACTGAACTACAATTTGTTTTTTTGACGATTTCATAAAGGGTTTTTCTATCTTATGATTGCGTTAAGCTTTTAACCCTTTTATTAAACGATGGAATGTAATTTTTTTTTTTTAAAGTACTCAGATATTACTATCATTTCGAGAAGTTTCATGTGGACACCTACATATTTATGCGGCTGTCTCACAAACTTTAGGCTGTACAAGTGACGAGATACGATTTTAGGGCGGCTATTAAGTGGCCTGCAGTATATATTACGTAACGAAGGAGATCGGCCAAAGGTAGGTTGTAAAGGGATCGTTACCGATTTGGGTGAGGCATATCGTTTAAAGTGTGCTGGGCCTGGAGACCCGGATGTACGCGTAAAACCACACACACGCACACACACACACACACACATATATATATATGGCGATTTTCCAAGCGTAGCTTAGATATGGCACAAGGCCGAAAGTATGGG